ATTGTGAATGTAAGCAGACCGGGCACCGCTCCTCAAGCAGGAAGTGGACTATAACACATGGCAAACAAACATGCATTTCTGTTACCTCATATGGAGCTGTCAACTTGTCTTGTGAAAAACAACATTCTCCATGGTCTTTGCCTCATCTTACACTTAGCTGAGTCCACTGTTGAAAAATGACAAATAAGAACTCCTAAAACCGCTAAAATTTGATGCCACTCCATTTTTGTTTTTATTTCCAAAAGAAGAAGAAGAAGAAGAAGAAGAAGAAGAAGTGTCTTCTTCAGAGGCTTTTGTGTCATTTCTTTCAGTAGTTCTTGGTGCAGCGCCACCAGAGGTGAGTGGCGGAACAGGTTGGTTTGAACAGGTTGGCTAGACTGCACAGTGCAGTGTGAATGCAAACGCAACACTTCAAATGTAAACAAAATGTTATGAATATTGGTCCCCAACCTAACCGAGTTTAACAAACTATCAGGTGTGAAAACAACCTGAGTCACGAGGACCCACCAAGAGAGACGTGTGTTGGGCAGTTACGTGAGCCCCCAGGTGTGACGACACTAAATGTTTTGGTGGCATGAAGTTAGTTAGCTCATTCAAAAAAATCCATAAATTAGCCTCAGCATTTGGGGTGTAACGGTATGCTAAAATCACATTTCCGTTCAGTTCAGTTTCAAGGAGGACTTGGTTCGGTTAATTTTCGGTACAAAAAAGGCCAAAATAATGACTTACAAAATGTTTATTTTGAAAATATGTCAAATAAACAATACGTTTGTATAAAAATAAATAAAAGCGACCCATTTGGATGATATTTTAAATAAACGGCACTCTTTACAATAAATAAACTATACTAACAATAATAAAAATCTTAATAGATACAATAATTGTCAGCACCAGAACAATAAGCAGCAACAGACCGTTTATGATCTAACTAATCAATTTTTAAGTTTTTGGCCAAAAAGACCAACTTATTTACATTTTCTGCCAAAAGCACAGATCCAGTTGCAGTGAATATATCCACCAGTGGAGAAAATCCTCTCACTAGCAACGGTAGCAGTAATAAAGAGGTAGACCTTTGTTAATTTTGCAGTGTGGCTGTATTTGGCCGTGTCTTTCCACTAAAGAAGGGCATCATGAAGCTGTGTACTCACAACCTCGTCTTCGACTTGTTCCAGAAGGGACTTGCTACTTCTTGTCCCTGGAAAAGTTCACAAAAGAGTTCAGTCATCACAGACTTCTCAGCTGGAGGTGATCTCTGGTGAATGATTTTCCTGAAGAGGAACTCATTGACATCCTCAGACTACAAACAACTCAAAGAGATAAAAAAAATAAAAAAATGGAGTTAATAAAATTATAATTTTAATATAAAAAAGTTAATTAGATAATAATAATAAAATAACAATATTGAACGGCCATAAATTTTGTTATTAGGTGGTTGAATCTCTCGCTCATCATCATCAGGGCAGGGCTTTAATCTGGGATATAGGGCTTGTTGACAATATCAGTTTTATATTTTCATAAAGTGCTGCTACAACTTTTTGGTTGAAGTGTTGATTCGATGTCGTGGCGGGGCTCAATAACTTTAAAACTGGCTCATCAACAACAGAAACGTAGATCCAGAGCTTTAAAAACTCCTACAGCTTGTGTTATTGCTCTGGACCGATCTGAATTACCTGATAAAGGTTGTTTAAATGCTGCTGTTATCGGTCTTTGCACCAACCAAACTGCTAGAAGAGACGCTCACATTCGGATGATGATGTTTCAACTGTGTTAATAAGTTAGACGTGTTGCCTGCTGCAGATCCAATCTCCGTGAAACAACGTCGACACACAGCTTTGGATTTCACTTGTCTTTTACCAAGAAAGGCATAATGTTCCCAAACAGGAGACCGCAATGAGATGCTAGGCTGCTAATGCTACGCGTGCTACAAGACTTTGTAACAATAACTAGCGCCATGCTGAAACATGCTTAGGAACTTTAGTTCCTAATAATCTTCGTTAATAACATTTAATGAGTGAAAAAATAACCGAAAATGTACACACGTGGACCGAACATGCTGTATGGAAACGGTTCAATACATCCACGTATACCATTACACCACTACTAAGCATTGTATAAGCCTATTTTCAAAGCCTGTAAAAAAATTAACGGCTTATGGTCTAGAAATGACGGTAATCATTTGTACCAGCAGCTGTAGCAGCAGCTGTAGCAGCAGCTGTAGCAGTAGCAGCAGCTGTAGCAGCGATCACTGTCAACAAGTGATCTTTGTACGCCACAATGAGATGTGCATTCACCAACAGGAAGTTCGGCTCACTCTTGCTGACCAAATGTCTCCATCTGTCTCACGTTTGAATGTCATACCTCAGTTTCCACATCTGTTCACAGATGTTCAACAGGAATAAAGTCTGCAGTCCCTCAGCCATTCTTGCATGTTTTTAACTGTATATTTTAGTCCATTATTTGGTTAGAAGACCATGAGCTGTGATTGAGGCAGAGCTTTCTGACACTGGGCAAAATGTTTCCCTCCATAATGCCTTGATAGTCTTGAGATTCATCATTTTCAATGTTCCTTCTGTGCTACATGTAGCAAAGCAGCCTCAAAACAAATCCAAACTGTCCAGAGGACCTGACTGAAATTTGTTGGATTTTCTACCTGGATTATGAAGCGTGAACTTGGATGTTTTGAACCACTTTGGCTATGGCTGCCTCAGAGGAGTTGACGAGGGAGAGGGCGGACTCCAGGAACCATCTTATCACCATCAAACTAGTTGATCCATTATGAGATGGTGCTATTTATAAGACTGAGTTTGTTGGAGCTCCTCGGACTGATGAAGTGCTTTGGCACTTGGGGGGGAGACAGGACAATCACAAACTTGGTTGTTAAAAGTTTACTGCCTTTTTCTACAGTGGAGGCTGCATGGTGTAGGTAAGTAAGTTGTAAAGGATATTGTTGACCATTTAAGCTTTTATCTCTCAGCTTAGATATTGTTTTTTGAGCAATAATAACACAACCATGTTATTGTTTGTTTTGTGTTCTAATGTCAATTAAGGAGATTATAAGAGCCCTAAACCCCAGAGAACCACAGAGAAGGTTCAGGAAGAGACACAGAGGTGCAGAAGTCTGTATCAACCCTAACCTCAGTGAATCCAGTGACCTGCTGGTGGAATGTGAGGGACACTTTGCCAGTGCTGTCAAACTTGACAATCAGATATCTGTGTGTGCAACAAGCATCATCCCTCAGAGCGAATATTTTCTGCTGCTGGAGACACCATCAGTCAGGAGCCAGCTTGTTTGTGTCCAGAGAAAGCAGACATGTTGTTTCTTTCTTTGTTGGGGCGGCTGTGGCTGAGTGGTTAGAGCATTAGTCCTTCAAGGCAAGAGTTGGGAGTTCGAATCCACCAGCAGTCACATGCTGAAGTGTCCCTGGGCAAGACACTGAATCCTCACTGCCTCCGATGTGTGTCCCATCGGTGTATGAATGTGATAAAGCACTGATTAGTCAATTGAGAATGATTTGTTCAATTAGCTTTGTAGAGATATAATAGAGTGCTGTATGAATGGGTAAATTAGGACACAGATTGTAGTGTAAAGCGCTTTGAGTATCTCAATAAGATAGAAAGGTGCTATATAAGTACAGTCCATTTACCATTTACAATTTGTTTCTGAAGAAAAACTGCTAAGTGAAAAGGTCTTCAGTGTGTAGCAGTGAGTATTAGATACTGACGTGTCACTGGTTTGAAACTGTTCTTTTGACCTGGAAATTATTTATTTTTATGTAAGAAAACTGCTTGGAATGGAAAAATGCCAAAGTTAAAAAATAAAACTCACGATTTGTACAGTAATGTGCAACGTAATTTTCTTCTTGTTAGAATTGATATTAATTACAAAATTGGTACCGAAAAAAGAACCGTCCAGGAACCAACACCGAAGTGAAGGTACTGACCCCGGTACCAATACCAAACTTTTTAGAAAGGTACCCAGCCCTATGTGTGGTGGTTTTTGAAGCACTGACTTCAGCTGCAGTCCACCCTTTGTGAATCTCCCCCATGTTTTGTGATGGGTTTTGTTTCACAATTCTCTCCAGGGTGTGGTTATCCCTATGGCTTGTACACTTTTTTTATACCACATAATTTCCTTCCCTTCACCTCTCTATTAATGTGCTTGGACACAGAGCTTTGTGAACAGCCAACCTCTTTAGCAATGACCATTTGTGTTTTGCCCTCCTTGTGTAATGGTCATCTTTTGGACAACTGTCAAGTCAGCAATCTTCCCCATGCTTGTGTAGCCTACAGATCTAGACTGAGCCTGATATAGACTGATTTAACGGCCTTTCCAAGTGTTTTAAGTTAATTACCTGATTAGAGTGTGGCACCAGGTGTCTTCAGTATTGAACCTTTTCACAATATTCTAATTTTCTGAGATACTGAATTTGGGGTTTTCATTAGTTGTCAGTTATAATCATCAACATTAAAATAAATAAACATTTGAATATATCAGTGCAATGAATGAATATAATGTACAAGTTTCACTTTTTGAATGGAATTACTGAAATAAATCAGCTTTTTCACGATATTCTAATTTTATGACCAGCACCTGTATACATTCGAGTTAGGGTTATATACACTGTTTATATATAAACATGTTTAGCTACAGCAGTAAATTGTGGCAGAAATACAGTAATGAATTGTCATCATGGAGCTGACATGGACCCTGCTGGGACAGCTGGAATGTGGTTCAAGTGGATGAGATGTGCTTTATTTGACGGCAAGTGTTTTTCCAAGAATGAAGGCTGGAATTAAAGCCATATCAAATTAGTTTGAGTACACACAAATGCAAACATTTCATTGCATTTTTTAAACCTAGGTTTCCTTCTAAATTCTTTCCTATTGAGTTATTGACATTATAAGTCCTGTTAACATTAAGAAAACAATTAAAGATGATTTATTGTGGTGTCTGAGCTTTTTGTGTTCATGGTGTTTTTGTGTGTTTTGTCTTTGAACAGGGACAGAGAGTTGTTTCGCTCTGATAAGAGACTGTTTCCGTCTGACCAAGCACACTGTGAAGTTCAAGGTACTTTATTCTACCCCAGATTGTGTGTTCTTTTACTGTCCACACAGCTCACATCCCTCTTTCAGTTTCAGACTTTAATTTATGAGAAAACAGTGAAACTGATATGGTCTACCAGCTTCTAAAACGATTCAAACATCAGGTGAACAAAATCAAAAACATATTTCACAGTGTCATTATTTATCAAATAGAAACAAAATATTTCTAGCTGTGTAAGGAAAAACTGAGATTTCAGAGTTTCAGTAGCTGCTGATCAAACGTAATGATTAACTGATCATCATCAGTGGAGCCACCTTGAGAAAAGCAGGAGTTTTTGCGGCTCTGGAGCATACAGGTATTTGTTAACCCAACACCAAGGCAGAAAGCCATCAGCAATGACTTTAGAAAGGTCCATCAAACTGGAAAGTGTCAAAGATCATTTCCAAACAATCTACAGAGAGAAATATTATTCACAAATACAGTGTGAGCTTATTTATCACGGGTGTTAGGTTCCAGCCCGGCCCGCGATACGTGAAAAACCGTGAAGTAGGGCTACAGTAAATGGTAAATGGACTGTACTTCTACAGCGCCTTTCTATCTTATTTCAAGATACTCAAAGCATTTTACACTACAATCTGTGTCCTCATTTACCCATTCGTACAGCACTCTACTAAAGCTCTACAGAGCTAATTGAACAAATCATTCTAAAGAGACTAATCAGTGCTTTTTAGATCACATTCATACACTGATGGGACTCACATCAGAGGCTATGAGGGGTTCAGTGTCTTGCCCAGGGACACTTCGACATGTGACTGCTGGTGGATCCGAACCCCAACTCTCGCATTGGAGGACGACTGCTCTAACCACTCAGCCACACCCGCCCAGTAGTTCAAGTTCAAGTACACTTTAGTGCTGAGATGGAAGAAAATTATGTACACAAGTAGTAGTATTAAGTAGTAGTTTATTTTAGTATTTACAGTAATAGTATTAAGTACGGTAGTAATTTATTATATACAGGTATGTATTGGTGTTTTAAACCCTTCCCACACTCTTGCAATGTTCCTAATAAATTCTAAACTCTTAAACCTTTTAAAAAGGTCAGGTTCAGGTCTCTCTTGTAAATGAGTCCACGAGGCTTAATGGGATTAACCTGTCTAAATAAAGGTTGAATGAAAAAAATCTAAATGGGTACTCACCAGAGAAGATGAAGAAGAGATGGAGATGAAGAATTATCTGTCCAGTGATGACGATGAAGGTGATGAAGATGAGATGAAACCAGGTGCTTTGCCTTCATCCTTCATAATAAAAGTGCGAGATGGCATCCTTTTCCAGAACAGGCCGGTTTGTCCATGTTAAAAACTTGTTCAGACCTGTAGACCTCCTCGGTAATCAGATTTTTGAACTCGTGTTAACAAACTTCTCCACTCCTGCTGTCAGCGGACACAGCCTCTCCGTGCAGAGAAACACTTTTTAATCCAAATTGCTCCCCGCTCCTTATTTACATCGCCATGCCCCCGCTTTCCGCTCCTCAATTACATCACCATTTCTCTTCCTCTCTTCCTCCGTGCTGCTTGCTGAGAGATGATAAAACAGTAAAGTTGTTTCAACTTTGGTGTTGGTATCCAAAGTGATGTTTTGTTTTTTTCCCTGCACTCATTAATCCACAAGACCACTTTGTAGCTTTCATCTTAACAAACGTGCTGTAAGCGGCCAGCAACAGCCGCATAGGTACGGCAATCTTAAAGTTTGTCCAGAAGTTAGACTTTCTCTTTAATCGTTAGCATCTTCCACTGGCGTGTTGGTTCGCCGCCAGAAACGTTTGAACACAAACATTTGGGAACTGTCCAGTTGAAAAATAGTGGAGATAAATAAACCCCCTGCTACTAGTGTGTTAGCGACCATCAGCTAGTGAAACAGCCAATCAGCGGCCGAGTTAAACAGACGTGACAGTGATTGAGCCAATCAGCACCCGGGTTACTAAGCATTTCGGTTACAAAGAATTTCTCGCATTTCAGTTCGCCGACAGAGACTTTTGAACACACAGAACTTTTAGAAACCATAACGAAGTAGTAACGCTTGAAGTTTAGTTGAAAAAGGTAAACGGATGGTAACAGCCAGTCAACGCCCAGGTCACCAGCTCAACATTCTGTTTCTTAAAGAAACATGTCCTGACACGATTTACACTTTCATTTGAATCTTACGTTTGTAAAGTTGAATTTTCTTAAAAAAAAAAAACTTTTCCGTGTGACATGAATTAAATTTTACGTTTGAAAGGCCGGTTCAGCAGTCATGACGTCGCTTTGCAAAAATACTGTTTGGCAGAAAACTGGCCGGCTGGAGGCACTACAGCATTGGATTAAGGGCAATGTAGTCCTTATGAGTGGCGAGTACAGTTGGGGTTTGAATGAAAGAAAACTACAAAATGGCAGTGCCTGTCCAAATTATTTTTTGTCATTAACTTTTCACATCCACATGAGTTCTGTACAGGATCGTGTGGTAAAAAAAGCACAATTTTTTGGACTGCTGTACACAAAAAAAACCTGATAGAGTGAGTCCACGTTAAACGGACCGCAAAAAAGCGAGGGACTACTGTAGTGCAATTGATAATAGAAAAATCTTGCAAATTGTGATACTACGTTTGGTAAGATGATTCTCTTTTAAGTATTTGTCAAACATGCCAGATTGGCCACTATTATTTTCTATTTATATGCTATCACTTGGTCAGGTTATTCATAAATTCAATGTTTCTTTTAATTTTTATGCAGAAGATTCCCATATTTATTTGGCTATTAACCTATCAGACCTCTCTACACTCAATAAACTTACCCTCTGTCTTACAGACATCAAAACCTGGATTTCTGATCATTTTCTTTCACTCAACAACGATAAAACTGAGGTGATGGTGTTTGGACCCAAGACCAAAAGGGATTTAGTAGTTCAGTCCCTTTCTATTCTTAGTTTTAACTGCACTCATGAAGCCATAAATTTGGGGGTGACCTTTGATTCTGATCTTAGTTTTTCTAAACATTTTAAGAACATCACTAAAACATTTTTTTCAAATTAGGAATATTGCCAAAATCAGAGCATTTATCTCTTTAACTGATGCAGAAACTCTTATTCATGCCCTTGTCTCCTGTCATCTTGATTACTGTAACTCTTTATTTTCTGGTCTACCCCAAAGTTCTCTTAATCGTCTCAACTAGTACAAAACACTGCAGCTAGAGTTCTCACAAGATCCCATAAATATCAGCACATCACTCCTATTCTGACTTCATTGCACTGGCTCCCTCTGGTTTTTAAAATTGACTTCAAAATTTTGTTTGTTTTTAAATCCCTGAATGGTATTGCGCCATCATATCTATCTGAGCTTCTTACCCCCTATATCCCTTCTTGCAATTGTAGTGAACCTGATCTGACCTCAAATCTGATCAGATGGACAGAGACTGTTATTTCATTGATCTGCATCCAGAAATACAGTTTGAACCATCTGGAGACTTTCTTTCTTGAATTAATCAAGTAGAAAAGACAATTCTCTATGATCATTACTATTTTACAAATGTTTGATAATCAAATTGTGTTAGTTCACTCAATGCTTACAGGTTGAAGAGAACTACTCATTTTTATTTTACATAAACAGTAAGTAATGATTTTTATTCCTCATTCAAAGAAGAAATCAGGTTAATATGCATTTCTTGATTTTTCTGTCTGCAATGAGCAAGTTTTGTAAGTATGTTAAAGTTCAGGCTTCGGTCAACTAAAATGTTTACTGAGAAGAAATGTCATGTTTAACTATTTGAGAAGATACAGCAGAGTTTGACTCCACGAAGTCTGGTTTTCTGCAATAATCTCTCTGTCTGTTGTTAAACAATCTTATTCTCTGACCTTGAATTTGATAACATCTTACATCACAAACCACACCTCTATTCTGGTCCATCCACGAATCAGAAAGCTCTAAATTGACCCGGAAGTCAACTCATTTAAAATGTGGCAACTTCCCGGTTCTTAGAGAGGCTGATGCTGCAGAGCTCGGAGAGTTCCACACAGAGTGCTGAAGAGTGATGGAGTTAAAGAGCTAGAGTGTAAGAGCTAAAGAGATGAAAGGAGTTCAGAGTTCTTGGATGCAAACGCATTCAAGATGATCCAGAGACGTTTTGGGATTATAACTTCTGTTTGGATAACCTCGTACGACTCTCTAAGGGTTTGGCAGTCCTCACGGAGACGCTGAAAGAGTCAGAAAGGAACCCTACGCCGACGCTGATTTTATCATCAACCAGGTAGAAGGTTCTATTTTCGACCAAGTGTACCGTGGGCAAGCTGAGATCTGAAGGAGCGTGCACGTTTCTGGTCAAACAGATTAATTCCCTCACCCATCTCTCTGTAAGATAAATCTCCATTTCCATCTTAAACTCTCCTTTCTCCTAAGATCATAACAGATATCTTAGAAATATCTGAAGCAAAGTCCTCAGTCACCGCCGTGTGATTGATGTCCATTATCTGTGAAACTTGTCTGTTATTATTTTCATATTTTGCCAAATTAATGTAAATGTTTGATGTTAAACTTTGATTCTGAAAATAAATGACCGCATTCATTTGATGGGTCAAAGATAATAACGTCTCTCGTTCGCATTTCTGTTAAATTCAATGCACGACATTTACACAGTCAGAAAAATGAAGAACTCGTGAAAAATTGTATGAATATATCCCTATATGACATACTACACAATCGCAGATCCTTAAATCTGTTATTACTTTCCACTCCCAGAGTTTGACTGTTGACAGAAGGATGGAGGGTTTTTATGGTCAGGGCTCCTAATTTTTGGAATGCTCTTCTTTTAAATATTAGACAGGCCTCTTCATAGTTTTCTTTTAACTCATTAGTTAAAACTTACTTGTTTAATAAAGTGTTTAATATCTAAATTTCTTTTTTTTTTTTCTTATGTATTTTAATTGATTTGGTATACTTTTGTGTTTCTGATGTCATTCATGATGTTGTTTTAATTGATTAATGTGAAGCACTTGGTAAC